ATTATAAGTGAACATTGATTTTCTCTTCTCTTGTCCTTGATGATCTTTTTTGTATTGTGTATTCAGGTGCATATGTATGTCGATTCCCGTGAAAAGGTTACTGCTAGATATCAGGTGAACTTACAATGGCTAAGTTTCAATGCCCTTGTTTTGTTATCTTCAGCAACTGTCATGCTAAATTGCTTCTTTTTTTCCTGTCAATAATTTGGTAAACCAGTTGATTTTTCCTTCAAAGAGAGAAGTGATGGTGTTTGGCAGCTTCAAACAAACTGGAACTCTTCTACCAAAAGCTCCCAAAGGATGGGGTTGGCGCTCGGCCCTGTTGTTTGATGAAGTATCTGACCTTCTCCAAAATGGAGCACTCCGCGTAGCAGCTGTTGTACAACTCATTTGATGGGTTCTAAGAAGTAAATGAAATATTCCCTGCTACCTTTTCAAGAAATTTTAATCCTTTTTTTTTTGCAACTAAATTAATATGTCAAAGTGATGCCAGACATTATTCTGAAGCTGAAATCTTAGGGGTTCATATTTTTGTTCCAACTTGGTTTCTTTGAATGCCAATCTTTCTAACAGCTTGATTTGGGAGAGTGGAAAGGAAGTGCTGGCAACTGCATTTGGCTAATGAATGTACATATTGATTATAATGGCAGACTATTATCATTAGGCAATTTATACATGTAAATTTTGCCTTACCCTAGTCTTTATATTTTTCTTTATAAATGGTGTTGTTGGAACCCAAATGCTTTATGCAAGTGACTTACCAACAACATCCTCTCTGTCATAAAAATACTGTATTTCCTCCAATCCGCGGTCTGATGTATTAAAGCTTTCATTATGTGCGGGGTTTGGAGAAGGGTTGGTATTTATATTTTATTTGGCACAACACAATCATCAAGGTCACAGTCAAAATAGTAGTCAATCGAATTGTAATAAATTTGATTTATGATTGAGATCTGATATCAGAAGATTCAACCTATTGCTTTTCTAGGAGTATTTCGACTTTATAATAGCTTTATGTTGCATTGGAAAAAAAAAAGAGATTATTTTCATTTGGTATGATAGTGATTGATTCATATTAGTACTATATTTTAATTTGTTTGTGATTGAGATATAGTTGTAAAAATATACTTTTAAGGAAAATAAAATATTGGACTTTTTAAAGTCAATAAACAAATAAAAAATAAAGTGGCGTGCTAGATAGCAAAAGAGCAAGTAGCTGGTAGGCTGGGGTGTGCAAATTTCAGGTTATTCAATAAATTGAACTGAAAAAAAAAATGTTATTGATTTATTGATATCATTTTAACAATTTGTAATCGGCTTTGTATTTATGTTATTGGCCAATCAGATCGATTTGGTTAATGTTACTTCAAGATTTTTTAATGATTTTATCAATAACTCAAAAGAGTCCGTTAAATTTCATTAATAATACAAAAATATTTGTGATTCTTTTTGTGAAGACTTTCTTTTTTTCATTCATCAACAACACCTTTTTTTCGGTTGATAAATGAGTTTAGTAGACGATTTCAAGTAAAAGTATCGTAAAAAGTCTTAAAATAAAACTATTATATATATCGAATGGTTGTTGTTGCTAAAGGTCCAGTTTCTTGCATTGTATCACTTAAGATAACATCGAGGTTAGGTTATTAACTTTTGAGGGTATTTGTGGTCTCTTGAAATAACGATGGAGGTATTTTTTTTAATCTCAAAATGTAATATAGTTTATAAGTGGTCTATTTTGCATAGTTTAAAAATAATTTTAACCTATTTTATTTAATTAATTAAAATAAAATTAACCTAGTAAATAAATATTTATTTAATACTTTCTCAAATAGAATGTAATAATATATCTGAACAAGTAAAAAAGACAGAAAAATTACAAAGTATAAGCTTCTTACGAAAGAAATTCATGAATTAATATGGTGGATGAAAAATGGTACTCTTAATTAAAATGGTACAAAGTACACGTTTATAATGTTAGTACATATATATAGCACTCCAAAATACTATGTGTTGAAATATGAGAATGGATGTCCAAAGAAGTAGGTCAATTGGAGAGTACCAACCACCAAGTCACTATTGGCAAGTACCTTTATCTTGTTTTTTTCCCAAAAAGAATGCTACCAATGGGGTCACAATCGCAATAAGATGCGACAAGGGCGGGACACGGTAATATTTAAACGGGATGGGATAGATTAGAACGCATCAAAAGATAATAATATATTTAAAACTTTAATACGGTGGGACAAAGGTGGGTTGTGTTGAACTTTTAGCCCATTATTTCAACTGAATATCAGTTCGTACAATCCAAATAAAATTCATGCTTGATCAACATCTTCTTGTTGTGATCGAATACAAACACAATACTTTAATTAATGATATTTATTTTCCATTTTCCTCTTTCATATATATATATGGTATAATTAAAAGGCATTTATATACCTGACAATTGTTAGATTTCTGACAATTATTTTTGTTAGTCTCCGTTATACTGATATTTATGTTTTTAAAAATTAAATAGAACATTAAAAAGTGGAAAAAAACAAATTGACACTTAAATGAGGCAGTGTGGGGCGGAACATGACTTAACGGGATAAAATATTCATTTTATTAAAATAAAACAGAATAAAGTAGATTAAAATCTTAGCGGATCAAGATTTGCCCCGTCCTATTGACATACCTACCTCAATCCATAATATTCACAGAACAAAATCTTCAATAAGATCTTGAGTACTCAGTGACTATAGTTGGGCCAATGTTTCAAGGGTATATATATATTTAAAAAAATTAAATATTGTTCTTGGCATCTAACTTTCTTAAGAAATCGACATTCATCTCAAAATCGTAGTGTCTAAATCAACTTACATGTATTGCGATATTTCATGATGTTATGTTATCTTTCATTGATACAACTATACAAGTATAATGACATCCACCAAGACTTTTAAGGCAAATAGTCCCTACCAGTACATATAAAAAGTAATTTCAGAAATAACAGCAAATAGTTGCTTTAGAATCTATATTAAGACTTTAACCAACTATTTAAAGTTTAGCCAAATTTAACAAATTACAAATTGCTAAATCTTGAGCTAAATGTCTTTTTATTTAACGATGGCAGATGATTGTTCAAGGTTGAGTGAATTGTTTGTTTTGATTAATTACTAAAACAAGTGACCCTTTTTTCTATTTTAGTAAAAAAAATATCATTTTAGCTCCGAACTCTTGAATTGACTATGCTAAATGGATGTATAAATTCAATTAGATTTCTCTAGATTTGACCTTATAAAACATTTCATAATCGATGTCTTTATTATTATTATTTTACATATTAAGGCAATTTATTAGAGAAAGATTCCAACGTATTTATACTATATTATATATTGATGTGGCCATGTGGGGAAAGATTCTTTGTCGTCTAATTAAGCAAACAACAAACAACACTACCTTGTCAATCAACATAAAATACGAACTAAATTAAAGTGCACATCAACATTGATAATCTCCAAAGATTAATTAATATCCTCTTTATCAGTATCATACCCTCTCGATGGAAATGGAAAGTAGATCACGATGTGAATCTACTTATATTTAATAATAGAGTGTTTATTCTTGACTTAATACAGAGATTGAGAAACGCTAATAAAATATTTCCTCTGTCCCTAATTACTTGTCTACTTTTAAATTGATACATCTGTTAAGAAAACAATGATTGACATAGTGAGTTTACCATTTTACCCCTATTAATTATGAAGTTGATGAATTAAGAACTTAGGATTTTCAAAAAGTTCTACCTTTTTCAAAGTAATTAATTGAGGGTATAAATAATATGATAAAAAAAATTGTTCTTTCTTGATTTGTCAAAATGGATAATTAATTAAGGACAATTAAAAAAAGAAAAATGAACAAATAATTAGGGAAAGAGAGAATAAGTAATGGGTGTGCGCTGAGGGGCGTCTTTGACGCACGTGCCAAATGTTGTTCGTCAGCCACTGTTTTTCTTGGAAACATAAAATCAACCAAGAATTAAAATAACTTTTAGGACAATTATTTGATGGTAAGTCCCCATGGTGGGTGCCAAAATAGCCTAAAATTGGGTTACTAGAAAAATCAGTTAAATTTATTTGAAATAGGGTGTATAACAATGTAATTAATCCAAATTATTTTGTAAGTTTAAAACAATTGTAGGCGTTTGAACATGTGATTTTATATCACAATATAAAATCATGAGGTGAAATCAGCGTTTTGATATGCGATTTCATTCGCGATATAAAATCATGAGATGAAATCAGCTTTTGGACATACGGTTTCACGTTGATTTCATCTCATGATTTCATATCATAAGATGAAATTTCAAATTCTCCAAAAATCATGATTTAAAAATTTTCAAATACAAATATTGACCCATAAATTTATATTTTGTAAAAACAACCTCATATCTATATCTACTAATCATTTATTTCATATATAAATAAATTTTATAATTCATATCATTACTTTTCAAAATATTTATATCTCATATAATGATTATTCTCACAAGCGTAGAATTTATTATTACTCAAATCAATTTCTACTTTACCGTTTATATTTACCAAATTCATTATTTTTTATCAAATTTATTTATCAACAAATGATTCAACGTAACAATGTTGGTTCGGCTTCTAAGTCATATGAATGAGAAATGCAAGTTCAAGTTGAGAAGATTGACAGTACTATGTGGGGGATTATACGAAAGACTAGTAGACCACAACTTATGTTTAATTTTATTTTTTATTAAATTAAAGCTTGGTCTACAAATATTATATTTTTTAAAGAATATCTTTATGATAGTGTATTATTCGATTTTATTAACTTTTGCTTATTTGGTAAGATTGTAAGAATTGGACAATTTTAATAGTTTTACAACTTATTGAGTTATTATGTTTATGAGAAAACTTACAACATAAAAAGTTCAAATCGCATGTCCAAACAAAACTTCAACTTCATCTCATTATTTCATATCATGATTTCAAATCGTATGGCCAAACAGGCCCTATGTATCAATTCGAGCTAGTAAAATGACAATAAATAATCAAGGTAATCGAATGTAAAGATAGAAGAGATCTTATTTAATTTGCATAATTTTTTCGATGCCCTTACTTAAGGATACTGAGTTACCTATAGAGCTTTAGTCACTCAAGTAGCTTATTGAAACGTTGTGAACTCATTCTTTGTCTTTGCAATATCAACGCATCATGCGCCACAAATACGGTTGTTTCTGCCTCTTCTTGTCTATCAGAAAATAAAATGAACATGTTTTGTTAAAAATAATTTTATAACATAATCGATGATAATTAATAACAACAACAATATGAACATGCAAAAGCAATACATTAATAGCAAACAAGCTAAGCAATACAACTCAAATATTTTTTAGAATACCTATTGTGTAACGGCTCTTATTTTAAGCTTTAAGTAAAAAGATAATGAACTAGATTTTATATTTTATTTCCAATATGCAACAAAAAAGGTAATGATTACACTCTTTTATTTTTATATTGGAAGGTAGAAAAGAGACGAGTGATAGAAATAGTATCATAGATAAATTAATCATTTTCAGTGCTTTCATGATTAATATGCATTATTGTACATTCATGTAGGCCTCTAATTATTGCAGGGGATGCATGATTGCAGGTTGGTAGAATAAGAGGGTGTTTGGATTGGCTTAAAAGTTCGTTAAATTTATTTTTAGGTCAGTTTTTTATTTTTGGAAGTGTTTGATAAATATAAAATATAATTTAAAATAAGTCAAAAATGACTTAAAATAAGTTAGGTAGTGTTTGACAAGATAAAAAATGACTTAAAATAAATCAAAAACCAAAAGTAGGTCTCCCCCTACTTTTTATTTTTTTACTTAAAAGTCATTTCAATTTGACTTTTTATTTTTGATTTAAAAACTATTTTTTTTAAGCCAATCCAACGGACTCCAAGTTTTTTTTTTAGCAACTTTTAATTTTTAATTTTTTTATATTAATATGTTTAAGGTTAATTAAAAAATATTTTAGTATATTTGACATATTTTTAATTGACTATCATAAGATTAAAAAAATATTATTTTTTTAGACTCTGTACTAAATTAAAATAGGACTAACAATCTGAAATGGAAAAAATAAATTTTAGTTCTTACTCATATCATATCATACTCATACCATATCATGATATGGTATCGTGATATGAAATCAGTGTTTGACATGCGATTTTACGCTGATTCCATCTCATGATTTCATATCATGAGATGTGATTTCATATTCTCCAAAAATCATGATATGGAAATATCATATCATGATTTGAGATATTTTTACTACAAAAATTGATCCACAAGTTTATATTTTGTTAAAACAATCTCACATTTATATCTACTAACCATTTATTTCATATGTAAATAAAATTTATAATAGCATCATTACTTTTTAAAAATTAATTATTCTCACCGACATAAAATTTATTATTATATTCTCACCAACATATAGTCACTTTAACTCACATCAACCGATTGTTGAGTAATATTAAAGACTAGTACACTTAATATTATTTTCAATTTTTTTATTGAATTAAAGTTTGATGGATTAAAGTTAGATAAAACAGTTACTTAAGTGGAGAACAAATAGCAATGTAATAATATATTATGCGATTTTATAATTTTTTGTTTATTTGGTAAGATTGGATAAACAATTGGGGATATTTTAATAGTTTTACAACTTAAAAGATTCTTATGTTTATGAGAAAATATACAACATCAAAATTTCATATCGCATGTCCAAACAAAACTTCAATTTCATCTCATAATTCAATATTATGATATCATATCATGATTCCATA